TTTCTGGTGTGTCATGTCTTGTAAGAATTTTTTAATGCGAGTTCCTCAACTACTGTAAAGGCTCATGAAGTTGTTTCACTTAAATGTCTTACTTTTCACTTAGAATTGGTTCATATCACCACGAAGCTCATTTTCTCTTAAGAAATTTCATGTAGCATATTCATTTGTCATTAAGTTTTGATAGGTATGGCCATAACCTTCCCATTAATCCTGTGATGCTGATTAGCGAAGCACGTTAGTGATCCTAGGTCTTTGTGATTTCTCGCTTAAGTAGTTTCTTAAACAAATTAGAACGACAACAATTTTTTGACTTAGTTACAAAACTGTCAAATTACTGCCAACTCTACCTACTTCTCAACCTATGTCAGATGTTTCGTTTTATAAATCTGTAGCAATAACAAATAAAAATTCAATCATGATTCATTTGAATGAATTTGGTGTAGCCATAAAAGCCTTACTTGTAGATCAAGTAATTTCTTGAATTTTTGTGAAACATCTTTACATTTTATTCCCCACTTTTACTGCTGCTTTACGTCGCGGTTGTTGTGCAAAGGTGACGTGATGATTTTCGAGTTATAGATGGAACTGTGTTGGCTAGGATCTGAGCTGCTCAAGCATCATCCTTAGCTGAGCAGCCTTTTTTCTATTTCGGTAGTGTAATATGCAGTCTTGTCCCGATTTGCAAAATGTGAAGCCTGACACTTGGGTAGACCTACAACTATTGCCGATTATTTTGTGCGCCTTTGATAAGTTTCCCCGTACTTGTTAATAGTTCTTGTTGGACTATGCACGTAACAATAAAAAAATTGATGAATGCGGTTTTTACCTTTTTTATCTGAAGAAGAAGAAAACATATTAAATCTTTGATTATTAGTCAAAGGTACACGCGTGGACTGTGATGGCGTCTAATCTCAAGAAGAAAACGACCAGCACGTGTCCATTCGGTGAGGGATTCTACAGTAAAATTACGAAGCTATTGTTGTCAAAGGAACCAACGGCAGTGAAGGAACTGAAGGAATGCGTGAAAATTGTAGGTTTCATATGAAATTCTCGGTAACTTTTGTAAAACCCTTTGTACTCACCTGAAAGTGATTTTTTTGAAAACTTTTGGTATAACTTGATGTATTGAGCTAAAATTCGAAGTATCGTAAGTAAACTGCTGATGAGAAGCTCGATTTCGACTGTTGCTACCCGGTTTTAAGAGCGCATGCAGCAGTTAAAATTTTCTTGAGGACGTCGAACTATTCGAGCTTCTGCAAAAGGTTGGTCATTAAGGTGAGTGCTGCTAAACTCACGCCGTCGGACGAGTTCTGGGATAGCGGAGACGAAATATCCAGCCTTGACACGCCATCGTCGTCCTTATCAACGATATCGTCCAGCTCAGATATCAGGGGTATCCAGATCAAGAAAGCTGTGGTGGAACGGCCTCGAATCATTCAGTTGGACACAGTGCCAACGGCCGAGAAGCGTGGCCCAGCAAAAGCAAAGGTGCGATTTAGGCATAACATAATTCGGAGGCATCTCCGTGTACATAGGTTTTCCCCGAATAGGTAGGGATGACCCTTTGATGCTTCTTATTTTTCCGTTTTAGGTCGATCCCCCACCGGTACCAGAGAAGAAGCGGAAAGTACCACTAGTACTGCCAGGTGCTCGTCGCTCGGACGATTCCGATTCGGATGATGCAAAGGCAACCGAAAAGGTAATTTCGTACAGCAGTTTGAAGAGTTATTTTCGTATGAGGCCAAAATATCGGTATAATCTAGTTTACCTCATCGGTAATTGGATTTGTACGATTGTTGTTCTGTAGCGGTAATTAGGCGCCATCGTAGGTAGGAGAACCTCGCGAGCCTAACAATTAGAGTGGACTAGCCAAACTAGGCGACTCATTTCAATTTTTTTCCATAATTTGGTTTGTGGTAATTGTTATCTAGTTCGAAAACGAACAACGGAAGCTGTGGTTACTAAACTGTGGCCTGGCTTCAAGGAAGTCCCCGTCTGATGATAATTGAGCAAACACTTTTATCTGAGAGTTTTCAAGGCTGTTTGTGAACGAATTCACTGAACAAGTATCAGCTGCGGAGAACACTGCACAGACTTATTCAAAATTTTTACCAATCAAAAGCGATTGCTCTGCGAAATGTCAGTTTCCAAAATTCTACGAATGTTCACTCAATTCTCCATCCTTGAATCGTTTTTGAAATCTCGCAAAAATAGATAAATTGATTGATATGAGTTAATATTACTGTAACGAATTTTTCATCCCACTGATTGTGAGTCTATATCCTCTAGATTTGGAAGCTTCGAGCCAAGCCTAAAGTGCTCAAAGTCTCTTAACGTTAATGAAATCCGTTTCTTTAGTGGGTCTCACATTCGACTACGTCTATGGCGTAACAACTAGAAGGGAAGAATTTGAAACTAAAGTCCGAAGATTGTTAAAAATTCGATGCTGATTAGGAAAGAAGGATGGCAGTTTTTGAGATTCTTTTCCTGTCTTTTTGACCTTATTTAAGTAAACTATCTGTTCTAATAATCTAGGGAAAAAATTCCATTCCAGCCATGTAAGAAGTGCGGTGAGAAGACAGCAAGTGCAACAAATTCGATGCTGACGTGTGAGGGATGCCATGTCTCCTATCATCAGAAGTGAGTCGAGTGTTATATTGATCATTTTGTTGTAATTTGAGCAGGTAGTCTTTATTGGATGACACTGATGCACATAAGTAGCCTGGCTACATCCTCCAGATGAACTTCCGATCCCCAGTAGATCGGCTTTTCTACGGAGAGTAGTCGAAAGGATGGTAGTGGAAGGTCAAGACTTGGCTGCCAACCACAAATCGTAGAATAAGCTGGGATTCAATGGCTATTGACTGAAATTCTGTTGCTCCTCACTTCGTCTCCTGGCTGAAGCCGATGGATAGCCTGTCCAGGATGAATCCCAGCAAGCCTACTCTTCAGAATCTATGAAGAGTCGCTCAGCTTGATAGCAAGCTTTTCGAAGTAATCTCCACAAGAACTGAGGAACAGGATGCGTGGCATATTCAATGTGATTCGAAGCAATTCTAGGTCTCAACATAGGCTTCTCGTTGAGTTCCTTGAAGACTCTGAAGACGTTTTGCTTCTCCTTGCAGACTCCTTCATCCTTCTTAGTAGTCATTTACTAGTACAAGAGATGGTCTCTTTCGCTTCTAGTAATTCGTTCGAAGGCCTTATCGTAATCTGCTTTGGATAGCTTGCTGAGTTCCACTCATTCTAATCATTTCTAGTATTCAGGAGATTAGCTTGAGATTGTTATGTTCACCAGGAGGAGTCTCTGATGGAGTCATTGTGTGTAGGGGAACGGGTTAAACGGATTGGATACTTTTTTTCCTGAAGATTAGTTACAGTCCTTTCCAGCAGCCTACTTATATTGATCCTATCACTCAGAACTCGATCAAAGTACAGGCGGCTCAACGCAGAAGCCTCGTTCGAGGTTAGGCGCCGTCATTGACTACATTTGGGTACCCTTAGGAGACTTGAAAATTTTATTTTGTTGTATGATGCGGGCACGTGCACTCGAATGAAGGGCATGAACTCGACTCCTGTTGCTGAGTAATCGCCTGATGGGTCAAGAGGACTTGGAGACCCTTTTTCCCTCTACTCCCTTCCTTTCACTCTTTCCTTTATCTATTGGCAGAAGAGAGACTTTGTCCGCATCTTGTAGGTATCGCCGGTCGGGTCGAATGTTGATTTTCAAAAAAAAATTCAACTTGAATTCAGAGCTTATTCGAAGTTTATAAGGTTCTTTGAGTTGCGGGAAAGATACGGGATAGGGGCAAGGGGCGCACCATCACACATGCATAGTCCGGGGATCGAATCCTGCAACTATACTTGCTCGAGCCAACCAAACCTTCCATCGTTCTTGGATTGGTTAACTGGTACCAGAGTTGTCTGTTAGGACGAAAGCCCTGAATTGTACATCAGCTAGCCAACACTAGTCATTGTCTAGGCCACGTACGCATTCAAAATGCCTTCACGATTCATGGTGAGAGTTTAATG